ACTTCCATTTCAGACTGGGTACCAGATTGTAGCTTGAATTTATTGGTTTCTCCTGAACAAAGAATTGCATTTCTGTCACTCTCTAATGGTTTTGTAATATGGACAAATATCCACTTTGTTGAGATTATCAAACTCGTTTCATTGGTTGGTGTCTTGGGAGAGTAGTGCCTCTTTTTGCAGCCTTTGCTATCAAAGATGATGGTGCAATGTGAAACATGAAATATTCAAATTCTTGTCTCCCCCCCCCCCCCCCCCTGTTGCTTTGATTGTTAGAAGAAATAAAGAAGCTTTTACATTTCCTGTAGGACCGAAAACACTGAATCAGATTTTTACCTGAAGCTCTATGGTCAGAAGAGAGGATAGGACTTCTGAGGCATCTCCATGTGGTGTGTTATTGTACATGTTGGGGTTTGTATGACTCCTCTGTGCTCATCGGGGCTAAAGATAGTAGGAGTGTTCTGGTTAAATGCTGTGGATGGTTATGAACATACAGTGTCACTGAATTCAGGGGTGTTGCATAGATGTGAAAATATGTTGGCCCTTTTTATACATTACTGCTGAGGATTAATTGAACTTTCCACTGACAGAGAGCAATTTGAAAATAATGAAATAATGAGGCTGAAGGTCTGAGCAGAAATGCTGGGAATTTTAACCATCACTTTGGGGGCTGGCAAATTGTCAGAAAGTATTAGCAACAGGTTCTGACCCTCTTTCTATACTATGGAAGCCACAGTGAGTGAAGGTTGACTCATCACAATGTTTATGCTGATAGTGTGTCAGCCTTAAGCTGTTTCACCAGAGACAACATTAGAAAAATGGCATTTGAACCTATTAAATTACGGGTGTCCTATATGGGATCCTTTGGCCTACATTTGAAACACGGACTACTGGAGGCCAGCAAGGGGCAGAATTCCATTTTGGATTAAAGTTGACAAACTGTGAACATTCTTTGCTTTTCTTTTTCTGATAGCTGGGTTTCACCTGCCAGAATTTCAGATATATCTGAACTTTGTTTATAATGGGCTCATTATTGATTTGTGGGAAGAAGAAAAAATAGAATTTGTGACTACTGATAGAATCATAGAAACATAGACCCAAAGAAACTTAGATCAATCCTGACAGGTGTTCGACCAGTTTGTGCTTAAAAACCTCCAAGGCCTCCTTTGGAAGCCTATTCTAGAGCTTAACTACCTTCAGAGCTAGGAAGTTTTCCTTAATATTTAACCTAAATCTCCCTTGCTGCAGATTAAGCTCATTATTTCTTGTCTTACTTTACTGGATATGGAGAACAATTGATTTCCATCCTCTTTCAAACAGCCCTTAATATGCTGGAAGCCTATTATCAGGTTCCCCCCTCCCCCATTGTCTTTTCCCAAGACTAAACATACCCAGTTTTTTTAACCTTTCTTCATAGGTCAGGTATTCTATGATTCTTTTATCATTTTGGCTGCTCTCCTCTGAACTCTCTTCAATTTATCCAAATCTTTCCTAAAGAGTGGCACCCACTATTAGGGTTGCCAGATACTTTCACAAAAAATCCCAAATATGGCAGGGAAAAAAATTGGTTAAGCGCCCCCCCCCCAAAAAAAGTCGCTGCTCCTTTAAATTCCCACTTCCCCTGCTCCCCCCACCAGATGAAAAATGTCCCCACCAGCCTTCTGTCCAAGAAAAACAGAAAATACCAGACATGTATTTTACTGGAGAGAAGACGCACTTACCGGACTGTCCGGGTGAAAACCGAACACCTGGCAATCCTACCTACTATTGGACAATCAGGGCCACCAATGTGGGGGAGCAGTTGCCCCGGGGCCTAGGGCTCCTGGTCACTGTGACTCCTACTGTGTCAGTGGCTGGAGCCCTGGACCCTTTAAATAGCTTCAGGAGCACAGAGCCATGTCCTCCGTGTGGCTCTGAGGGATGGAGGGGAAAGCATGGCATTCCAGCCAATGCAGAGGGCTGGCTGCCATGCCCTGCCCTGCCCTGCCCCTTCTGGAAGCACAGAACCACCATCCTTACTGTGCCCAGAGGCTCAGGGAGGCTGTCAGCTCCCCAGAACACAGTGCTCCAACTGAGGCCACCTGGGTTCCTGGCCTTGGGACTGCTGCTCCAGCTGTGTACCAGCACTGAGTAAAGCAAGACAATTACCTCCCCTGTCTTACATATGACACTACTTGTAATGCATTCTAGAATGATATTAGGCTTTTGCACCTGTATCACATTATTGACTCTTATTTCATTTGTGATCCACTATAATCTTTTTCAGCAGTTCTACCACCTAGCCAATACTTCCCCATTTTCTAGCTGCACATTTTTCTGTCATAAGTACACTGATCTTTACTGAATTTCATATTGTTGAATTCAGACCAGTTCTCAAGTTTGTCAAGATCATTTTAAAATCTAATCCTATCCTCCAAAGTGTTTGCAGCTTCCCACTCCACCCCCATTTTGTGTCAACTGCAAATTTTATAAATATGCTCTTACCTATATCTGAATCTGCCAGGTTTAATTTGAATTTTCTCAAGCTCTCTCCATCCCTAGCATAGTAGAAGGTTTGCAGGTTACGACTGAGGCATATTGGCAGGACACTGTAGAGAAACGGGAGTCCACTGATCAGCTTTTTTATGATTATAAATATTCTTGTGAATACAGTTTTCAAAAGCATCTAAGTGACTTAGGCTCATAAGTTGAGTTACCATATGCCCAGGTTTTCCCACACACTGCCTCTTTTTGAGCCTCTGTCCTCTGGGAGGGTTTTTCAAATAACAGGCAGTATCTGGGACTTCTTGAAAACAGATGCAGCAGCTCAGAAAGAGCTCCTTGGTCCACTTCCTGATCAGTCCCTTCTCTGCATTGACAGCTGATTGGTCCATCCCCCTGCAGTCACAGCTTTCAGATCCTGCCCACCCAAGCCCCAGTTCCCAGCAGCTGGGGAGAGGGGGGCAGCACAGAGAGGCACTGATTGACAGCTGTTGCTCCATCCTGGACTTGTATAAGCTGCTCTGCCAGCATAATAGGGAGCAACACTACCACCCCACCTCCAGCAAGTACCACTTCCAGCTCCCCCAAATGTACTCTTTCAACTCTCTCTCCCTCCCCTCCCGCTCACTCCCCAGTGTCCTCCTTTTAGAAACCTGAAATATGGTAACCCTAAAGTCCCATTTATTTTAACAAGAACATCAGTGGGTGTTAAGTGCCTAAAATTTGAAAAATGGGATTTAGACTTCTAACTCACTCAGGTGTTTTTGAAAATCATACCCTTTCTTTCTTCTAGCCCCTTTTTTCAGACAAAAAAATAACAAATGAACGTTAAAGTTGTAACAAACAAGTTAAAAGAAAAATCCTAAGGGAATTCATGTCTAATAGTGCCATTGCATGCTTAGCTCACCACATTATATCAAGGTATTGTAAGGATGTCAAATAGTGATTAAGTAGCATAATGTGTTTGCTGTAGTGCTCAGACCTTACAGAGCACGTTAAGAATGGAGTGTCAGGCATAATTGTGAGTTTTCTCGTTTTATTGGCTTATGTCACATCCCTAACATGACTTTAAATGTAGTTTTGTGTATGTTGGAGTTTTCTCTTATGTTTCCCCCTGGCTAGTAATATTTTGTGTGGTAGTTTTTCTCTCTTTCATGTGCTATGTTATCCATTATTGTCGCCAGCCCTGCCAGGATGTCCTTGGAGAGGTGCCTTAATGGAGCTGTCCTGGTTAAAGAAATTCAATGTGATTGAGCTGCAGCAAAGAATCAAAATCCAAATATCTGAGAGGAATGAATAATAACTAGGTATTAAAGCATATTGGTTATTTATTACTGGCAGAAGGCAGGAAAACATTAGCATGTAAAAAGCTTCATATTAATCACTGTTAGTGAGTGGAAACCTGAAAAGTCACCTCTATCTTTGCTAACTCCATTTTCATTATTCCGGGTGTGTTATCATTCTTCCAGCTCTCTGTCCCCCCCACAGCCTCCGCTGGTAAGGAAAGAATGCTGCACAGGAAGGCTACAGAAACAGGCAGGGTTAATTCCAGGAGATCAAGGGGGCCAAGATGCCAAAGTAGGGTAGATGATAGAAACCAGAAACTGAGTTGTTCACTATTCTTCATCAGGGTCCATATAAGGGCTGCAGTCTGATCTGGGGAAAAATCTATGATGAGAAATGAAGAGCAGTGCAGTAGTTAGAGCAGGGCAACTGGGCATCTGAATTCCTGGATATGTACCTGACTTGGCTGCCAGTTCTTGGTGTTCCTCTGGCTACCCCAGTGTAAAGTGCACATAGTGATATTTACGTGTCCCATGGAGTTGTTGTGAGAGTTAAATAGTGTTTGTAAAGTGCTATGTTATCCTCCATTGAAAAGTGCTGTGCAAACACCCAATGAGTTTGATTTGCTCTTAGTGGCTTTGCCAGCAGTTGGCATTTTCCTGGGCCAGCGTTACAAAACTCTAATTTTTCTAAACAAACATCAGAGGTGTAAACTCCCTGCCTCCCAGTCATGCTGAGGACAAGATTCTGTTCCATGTGGAAAATCCAGAGCCACCCCAAGCCACCTCCATAGTAGTTCCACCCTGGGTGGAAATCTGCTCCTGTCTGACCAACGGAATTGCCTCTAGGTCTATTCCTATTGGTAAGCAATCTGTTTCAATGATGCTGCATCCTCATTCCTCCGTCTTTCAGGATTTCAAGACCTGCCCAGAAGTCTCAGCAGTGAATACAGAAGAATTAAATAGTAAATATGATAGAGGTCTATAAAATCATGACAGGAGTGGAGAATGTGAATAAAGAAGAGTTTTTTACTCCCCTTAACACAAGAACTGGGAGTCACCAAATGAAATGAATAGGTAGCAGGCTTAAAAGAATCAAAAGGAAGTACTTCACACAACCTGTGGAACTCCTTGCCAGAGGATGTTGTAAAGGCCAGGACTTTAAAAGGGTTCAAAAAAGAATTAGATAAGTTCATGGAGGTTAGGTCCATCAATGGCTATTAGCCAGAATGGGCAAGGATGGTGTCCCTAACCTCCGTTTCTCAGAAGCTGGGAATAGACAACCGAGGATAGATCAATTGATGATTCCCTGTTCTGTTCATTCCCTTTGGGGCACTTGGCACTGGCCAATGTCAGAAGACAGAACACTAGGCTAGATGGACCTTTGGTCTGACCCTGTATGGCCATTCTTATGTAACCAGGGCCTATGTTGTTAAGGCCCATATACTTTAGGGAATACTAGAGAGATAAAATGTGTGAAATAATATCTTTTGCTGGACCAACTTCTGTTGGTGGGAGAAACTCACTCAACTTCTTTCTCTTGTATCCTGGGACCGACCTGGCTACAGGACCACTGCATATAACAATTAGAAAATAGTGTCATTTACAGCACTAGTTCAAGTAGCAAAAGTATTCTTGCCCGCCCACAACTTTCCTCCAAACGCTTTCCAAATAGTCCATAAGCCATTTCACTTGCATGAGCCTGGGCAGCTCCTGTGAACACTTCCACCCACACCAACTCACTTCCAACCATTTCACGGCTAGAGTAGGTGGAAAAAGCAGGTTTTGTGGTTGCACTGATTCAGTCAGCTCTCCCAGTGCTCTCCCACAGGGCTTCCATGCTTTTCAATCGTGACTCTGTACAGGGTTTTTTTGTTTTCTTTTTGGCAACTTGGGCTCTTCTGGGCATCTCATGGGGCAAAAGCGGCCTGTGCATCCTTGCTCTGCATTCACCACAGGCAGCTATGGTACTATGACTGTGCAGAAACCTAGTACACTCCTAGGAAGAAGTCCCTTACTCTTAGGCCAGGTCTATGCTAAGGGAGAAAGTTGATTTAAGATACGCAACTCCAGCTATGTGAACAGCTGGAGTCGACGTACCTTAAGTCGAATTTCCGTGGTATCCCCACTGCAGGAAGACAATGGGAGAAACTTCTTGCGCAATGCCATTATACCTATTACTTTTCAGGAAGAACGGCATTGCACAAGATGGTTTTTCTTGCGCAAGAAGGGGCAGTGTAGACGCTCCTTCTTGCACAAGAGCCTCTTCTGAAAAAAATGGTAGCTCATTAGGTATGCAAATGAGGCTTGCCGATATTCCACGCTTAGCCACATTTGCATATTACTCGCGCAAGAAGCCTTGAGTATAGACATATCCTCAGGGTGGAGCCTGAGTTCTGGAAACCTACCCCTTCACATAACCTTTCCCTCTGGAACTAAGGGGGCTAGAGACATTGAAAGCCCTGAGGCAAGAATATGCAGCTCACTAAGGCCTGGATGTGGGCCAAAGACTCTATTGTGAGGGACTGTTGTGAGGCAACTGCCCCACACTGGCTGGAAGGGGTTAATGCAGGCTAGAGGGAGCCTATGCAGAGCCTTGGCCAATCAGGGGGAAGCTTTTAAAGAACCAAACAGGCTGTAGCTTGCTGGGCCAACCATATATATATATACAGGTAGTCCCCGAGTGGGAACCCAAGAAATAGACATTCTACTGGTGAGTAGATGGTGATAATCACTGTCAGAGTTCCAGTCTAAAATCTTTTCCAACATATTTATCTCCCATCACACACAACCTTTTGAGAGTTAGATTAGTATTTGCACTTTGCGTCCTTTAAAAAAAATCGGAAAGGTTCTTTTCTATCTCCTCAGCAACACTGCTTTCTGAGAACAGCAAACACAGATTTGTTTTTCTTGTATTCAAAAATTAATATAGGGTAATAACTACATGGGATTTTAGATTAGACTCTCCTCCCATCATTATTTGTTCTGTTTATCTTCCTTGTGAAAGCTGGAAAGTTTCATCTTTACAGCCTACTGCTGACTCAGCTGCCTGAGCCAAAATGGAAAAAAAATCCTATTTAAAAAAGGTCCAATGATTTTATTTTCTCATCATAAATATGAAATTTAATTAGCAGCTCACTGCTAACGAAGTCACCATGGAAAACAAGTCGGAGGGAGACAGGCAAGCATAAAACACAACTGTTATGCAGAAGCCAATTTAACTCCTACTTTTCCTTCCCAGAACGTCTTCTAATGCTGTTTTGCCACATTTTTCTTTACTAGAAAGGATTCTCTGTCCTTGTGGTAACAATCACTCTAGTGTGAAATAGCCACATGCAATGTGAAGAACAATAGAAGAGGAGCACTAGGGGGCTCACCAGAGTCCTACAATATATATATAAACCTAATGTCTCAGGCACAGGGTGAGCGCTCACCGCCGCGGTGCCACCTGGCTGTGGCACTGGGAATTAGTTCTTGTCAGCCGCCTCCCTCTGGTTGGTGTCTCCCTGCGTTCTCAATCCACACTCCAGTTCTGGACCTGCATTGCTCCCGGACCATGGTGTCCTCTTCAGGACACTGCCCTCCGGCAGTACCCAGTTCCGACTTACATACAGATTCAACTTAAGAACAAACCTACAGTCCCTATCTTGTACGTAACCCGGGGACTGCCTGTATATAGGGAGCTGCCCAGCCAAAAGGAGTCAGTTAGGCCCTGACTGTAGGTTTGTTCTTAAGTTGAATCTGTATGTAAGTCGGAACTGGGTACTGCCGGAGGGCAGTGTCCTGAAGAGGACACCATGGTCCGGGAGCAATGCAGGTCCAGAACTGGAGTGTGGATTGAGAACGCAGGGAGACACCAACCAGAGGGAGGCGGCTGACAAGAACTAATTCCCAGTGCCACAGCCAGGTGGCACCGCGGCGGTGAGCGCTCACCCTGTGCCTGAGACATTAGGTTTATATATATATTGTAGGACTCTGGTGAGCCCCCTAGTGCTCCTCTTCTATTGTTCTTCACATTGCATGTGGCTATTTCACACTAGAGTGATTGTTACCACAAGGACAGAGAATCCTTTCTAGTAAAGAAAAATGTGGCAAAACAGCATTAGAAGACGTTCTGGGAAGGAAAAGTAGGAGTTAAATTGGCTTCTGCATAACAGTTGTGTTTTATGCTTGCCTGTCTCCCTCCGACTTGTTTTCCATGGTGACTTCGTTAGCAGTGAGCTGCTAATTAAATTTC